ATATATTTATATATTTATTAAAAAATGCCTTTTGTGCCCCCCTCCTTCCAAAAGGAGGAAGCGACAAATGAGCCAAATCAGGTTTCTGGTGAGACCTGCCTACACCTGCTCTGCTCTCAGTCCCCCGTTTGCATTCTGACCTGTACTTTGGTAATTTTTTTTTTTTTCCAGCAAAAAAATGTGACAACTACATCTGAGAATTCAGAGGTAAATGAACAGTTCCCTAAAGCAATGATAAAAACGTCTACAGAAAAAAAAAAACCAACCCCAACCCCAAACTATTTAAAATTTTGTATTAACCAAGAATCTTCTTCACTATTGTGGCTGGAAAACCACACGGAGGAACCCCTCGAACACAAACCCGAGCAAAGTCACGGGAACGGGAAAAGCTGTCCCAGTCGACTGCGCTAGAAAAAGAAAAGGTTCGACCGTGCCACGCGTTGTGTTTCCAAGCAAAGCGCCGCCGTCCCGCCAGCACTCAAACAGATAATAAATTAGGTTATTAAAAAAAAAATAAAATTAAAACCCAAACCAACCAAGCACCACACAGGTCCCAAATCGCAACACGGGTTTCAAATGAAAATCCGGGGTTTATTTCACAAGTTGCTAAAATCTAAGTACAATAGTCATTTTTCATTATTACTGTGTTATAAAATCTTGTAGTCGCAACGTCTCAAAGAAAGGTTATATGGCTTGCGAGGAGCAGCGCTGCTCTAACCCTCTCCCCAGGAGAGGGGAAGCCGGCAGCGGCCGAGCAGTGTCGAACCAGCTCATGCAGCAGTTTGCAGCCAAGCCGGGAGGGTCGGGGAGACGGGACGCGATGCCGGGACGCGATGCCGGGCGCTCCACCTGAACGATGCGACGGACAGGGTCGACGGGCAGCAGCACGGTCAGTCTCTTGTTCTCAGGGAGCTTTGAGTAAGATGATGGTTATTTTGCCAGGAGAGGGCTGCTGACAGCTCTGCGGCAGAACCACGAGCCCTCAGGGAGGGAGGAATCCCCAACAACGGGACAGCAGGAGAAATAAACCGGTTTGTTCTGAAACGTGTGTCTAACACCCCCCTCCACGATTCCAAACAGCGTCACCTCTAGGGTACAACTCCAGGATGCGATTATTCCGTCTAATTGAGTTTTTCTGTTTGTTGGTTGTTTTTTTTTTCTTTTCAGAGTTGTTTAAGGGAACCCAGGGACAGGGAGGAGGGATTTGGAGCCGGCAGCAAGTGTTGAACAATGTGAACCTCGCCCGGGACCGTAACTCGCCCGGTTCAACACGACTCGACCGAGGACGCGGTCTGACTCCAAAGGAAGCAGCAGCTCTGGCACTGAACACGCGGGCACACCACTCAAGTCTCTCCTGGTGCCTGTATCTAGAACTTTGCAGAAACACCAATGCAATAAAAATATCCTTCCCGTTACCTGCAACATTCCAAGAACCACAGGTGTCAAAACTGGTTTGAATCCCGACAGCTCCAGGGAGTATTTTCTCTTCCCTTACAAAACTTTCAAAATAATTCCACCCCAATACCCGAGATAATATTTGTGGGGTTTTTTTACACAGATTGTGATGCAGCGCTGCTGAGGAAGCACCATTTCTAAGACAGCGTGTGCAGACTCATTTTTATTTTCAGTTCCAAATCTTGTCTCAATTATTTTAAGCCTCCCCGAGCCATTGTGCCGAAATACAAGTTTCGGAGCTGCTGTACCTGAGCTGGCGGAATCCAAAAAGGTTTTGACATAGCTTTGGAAACAGGCAGGTTTCCTGCTTGTGCCCCTCTTTCCATTCCCCTTTCTTCCAGCATCAGCTGAAGCCAGAGCTGCCCCAACACTGGAAAGAAACTGTGAAGTTGTCCAGGTGTCCAAATTATTTGAATTTTAGTTTGAGAAGTTTTGCCTGTTCCTCTGAAACAAAGGCACTCTTCCCAGGTGATTTCACAGCGCCAGACATTTGCATCAACAACGAGATAATGCAGCTATTTGTCAGAAGAGAGGAAAAAAAAAAAACAAACCCAAACCCCAGAAAACCTCCACACAGGTAAGGAACTGAAACTTTTTCATAATATTTCAAAGTGCAAAAATAAAATGCACTCAACTTCTCTCTCCACATCTCCCAATCCAAAATATCTTGGAATGAAAAGAAAATTTTTTTAAAAAAACCAATTCCTCTCATCCCCATTTAGCTCTTAATATACATTTACAAAACAAACAAACAAAAAAACCCAAAGTCAAATTGAAATCCTAGTGCTTTATACAGCAACAAAGACCATTTTGCAAAACTAGGGTTTCCTACGCTACTGAACAGTTTCCAAATGATCTAAATACTGATATTCACACAACAGAAGAGGGGCTAAAACCAACGAGTTTGCTTTTTCGCTATGCAACGGTTAGATCCGAAGGGGGACGACCCTATACAGTATCGGTTCAAAGTTCGATCTAACAGCAACTGCTAAGAAAATAGATTCAGCACAGACTGAATAGTAACCCCTCCCCCCTTCTCTTTTATATATAGATATATAGATATATAGATATAATTTTGCAAATAATTCTTATCAGCACTACTTCCAGCACTGATACGCAACACAAGTAGTAAGGCATGTATTTCTGCCGCTTGAATTCAACTTGGATTTGGGAGAAGCCCAGGGAAGGAGGAGGGAGGGAAGGTAACGAGAAGAAAAAAAACAAAAAAAACAAACAACAAAAAAACCAAACCTGGACCTGATGGATTAGGGTCTGACCTGTGGAATCCCCCCAAATTTCTTAAAACCACGTCGAAACCTGTCCTTAACGCAGGGTTACCTAAAGGTCTAGGGAAAAGGAAATACTGCAGCGACGGACAGAGGAGCATGCTTGGTACGGCTGGAAGAACGGAGCTCTAGGGATCAAGGTAGGCAGTCCTGCCCCCAACACGCGCTGGCACGGTCACCGGGCCACCGCAGCGA